AAAAAATATTGACATTTGTATTTGTAGACAGCACTATATAGTAGAGGTAGTAATTTACTATTTTTATATACGGACCTATAATAAATTTTAAAAATTAAAATATTGTATGAATTTGATATCTAAATATTTAGTAGAGAAGTATTTATCTTGAACAAGGTTCTTTCTGTATAACAATTCTCCTATTTTGTCTGCTTTTTTTCTTTCTCGTTGCAATTTTGAAGTCATAGAAGGCTTACCTTCTCCCTGCCAAAACCTTCATAGAAAAGAATATTTTATATTATATAAATTTTTTTTAAAAAAACCTTAGATTTACCTTTCAATTTCTCCACTATCTATGCACATTGATGTATCTATTTTTTTAAGGTTTGAATGTAGAGATTTGGTGTATCTTTCTCGATAGTGTAGTATCATATTCTTTTTGAAATAGCTTTCTAATAACATATTTATCTTTATAGAACAATCATTATGTTTGTAATCTGGCCATATATCTGTTATAGTATTAGTATAATGTAAAAAAAAAAAAAAAAAGCAAACTAATTTATACTAACCAACCTAATCACAAAACCAATACTTTTGAAAATAAGATACGATGGTCTCTGCAACTACTAAGCTTGTGATTTCAATGGCAGTCTGAAGCTTTTTCGCATCTAGAATAGTAGCCTTTCATTGATTAAATTCTTTTTGATCTTGGGACCATTTAACAAATCGAAATTAATAGAATACTCGATCTCTAAGCTATTGATCATTTAAATTTTTTGTAAACCACTTCTTAAGTGCATCAGCTAAAAAAATAATATTGCAAAAACTGAGAAAAAAAAATTGTAAAAAGTAGAGTTGTTGGTGTAAGCAAAATTTTGTTGGCATGCATGAATCTCGATTTTGTATACTAATTTCGGACACCCATCAAGAACGTATCTGCCCAAATAATAAATATCAATTGACAAGTATTTTAAAAGTAGATACGTTCTTAATGGGTGTCTGAAATTGGTATACAAAATTGATAATTTAATAATGCCAACAACTCACAATAACAATTTATAAAAATTCACCTTCATGCTAGTCGCACAAAACTACTTGTGTATTAGGAAAATGTTTTCTAGCTGCCACTAGATAAAGATCCCATTTGTTTATAGCTAACCACTTAGGATTCAATTAGATATCATTTTCAATACTATATTGAATAAACTTCAAACTACTAAAGTTATAGAATTGTCTAGCTAAATTTATCGGATACTTACTGACTCAAACATAAGATCGACAACTAGTATTGTTTTCTTATCACTTATAAATATTGCTATGACTCGACCATGAGGTTTATCTGACCTAACCATGAAAGCTGTATTTGGGAAGTTTAAGCTGTTATGACAGCCAGTAGAATCCAAAGCCAACAAGTCCGGATATTTAGTTAAAAGAATTGGCATAACTGTGGAGATGATACCAAGAAGCACAACCTGTTCTTTGAGATTTTGGGCATCCTTGACACCATATTGTTTTGATATAATGGTGCATTCAGCCTCATAATCATCCATTATAAAGCAAATCTATTAACAAAGCAAATAAATAAAAAAAATAAAAAAAAGGTGAAAAAAAAAACCTCACCTTCATACTTTTTCAAATTCTGATATGCAACTTTTTATCATATTTGAGGGCATTTTGAATTGGTTCGAGGTTGGGTGCAAATCGGGTGGATGTTGGCTAAACTTGGTTTGCTGGTGTATCAAGAGTTTTACTAAGAGTCTTTGAATTATTCATAAGTTCTAAAAAAGATTACTAAATTAAAATCTGAACTTCTAAAGTTAGTTTTTTTTTTTTTTTTTTACTCAACTGTCACCAACATTGAAGGGGTTAACTTGTCATTCTATTTGTAATCATTTTTCTTATTAAACTTGATATTCGAAGTAGTTTTTTCTGAACATGATTGGGGTCATGATTCCCATAAAATTTGATATTATATAGGTTAAGTAGTTTGTCTTGAAGAACTGAGATATGGCCTTTCCATTTACACTTTTCTTTGTGGCAACTATTCTTTAAGAAATGTGGTTAGTATTTCATAAATTCTCTAAAGATAGACGAATATATAGGCTACTATCAATAGAAATAAGCAGAATTAGCTTTTAAAAAAAAAGTTAATACCTTAACTTTTATAGATAAATTTTAA